AGTGGAATCCCAGGGTCTTGAGAGAGTTCGCTCTCCCCGCCCGAGGTTGTTTACCTCGTCGGTAGAGAGTGAATTCCCTCAACGGCCGAGAGGATCCTCTCGGCCCATCGAGAGTGTACCCTCTCGACAGCTGAGGTGTACATTCTCGACGCCCGAGGGAAATCACCTCGGCCGCTGAGAGCAGAATCTTGACGGTCGAGAGGATTCCTCTCGGCCATCGCGGTGTGTAATCTGAGCGGCCGGGAAGAATCCTCCCGGCCGCTTCTGTGGGGGTCTTTTGTTTCATTGACCCCCAAACCCTGGTTGGTTTTGGAGGATTGACTCCTAAACCAACCGGGGATTGTTATTTTTTTTAATATTTTTTTTGGGAGAGTCGACTCCCAAACCAGTCAAAGGTTTTGGGGGTCCGACTCCCAAAAGTCGGGGATTTCGGGGCTTGGGAGTCGGCTCTCCACTTTTTGGGAGTCGTTTAACCAAGCCCCTATAAATTATTGAGCAAGATAAATTTTGAGAAATTGAATTTTCATGTCCTATGGTACAGGCCCTAAAAAAGCTGTGAAATGGCTTGCTCCAAAGGCCAAATTTGGTCTATGGGAGACAATTTGGGTTCCATTTCAAGAATAAGTCTGCATAGTGCAGTCAGCAAAGACAAGCCTTGTGGATGTGTGATGGCACAGCCATGAGGTCTTGGGGTCTTCTCTGAGGCTTCGCACTTTTTTTTTCTTTTCACTGCAATAAAAATAATCCATTGGATAGCTTGAAGACTATCCAGTGGACAGCTTTCCAGAAACTGTCCACAAATCTCAGGCATAGTAGCAACGATGAAACTGATGGATGCATGCATAGGTATCGCATCGTATCGGGCCTTTATCGCATCGCTTGCATTGGATTCTTCGATACAGTGTATCAGTATCGCATTGGCAAAGCAATGTGATGCGATGCACTATAATTTGGTGGCATTGGTTTGCATCGCTTTCCGATACAATGCTGATGCTATGCATCGCTTTTTCAATGCAATGCATCGCTTTTTCAATGCAATGCATCGCTTTTTCGATGCGATACCAATACATGGCTATTTATCGCATCGTTTCACCGTTGATAGTAGTGTCCAATGTAAACTCTCTGCCCTGCAGGCAGTGGTGGGCTGCTACGCTATGCTTTTGTCCCAAAAAGTGTAGTTTAGCGGCACTTTTTTTGCATCAAAAAATTGTAGTGTTAGCGCTTGTGTAGCACATTTTTGCTACGCTACAGCGGCTAAAAACCGCTAAAAAGCACTGTAGCGCAGTGTAGTGGGTCCTTTTTTGTGGCCCACACGCGTAGTGTTAGCGGTGTCGTGGCGGAATTCTGCTGCGCTACGCTTAGCGCTAATGGGAATTTTGCTGTGTTACGCTACACTAACCGCTACGGTTAGTGTAGCGGCCCACCATGCTGCAGGTGCTGGACAGCTCTGACGCTGTCCAGAATGGTGTCCATGGGACATCAGATTTGTCCCATGGTGTTTCTTTCTTAGCTTCAAACTTGTGAGCTTCTCCAGCAGAGCCGTGACTGGATGGTTTTCAGCCCAATCAGCAGCTTGCAGGAGAATTTTGGGAGTCCAGCAGAGCCACAACTGATTGCCCCCCAAAAGAGCATCTCAAGCAGAGCCGGGGTTGATTTCTGCCCAAATAGCGGCCTGCAACCACATTTCACACCCCTGTCTCAGCTCTGTCACACTGCTCCCACAGCAGACTGACAAGAGATAGCAGGGGGCGGTTGGCCAAGTTGCCAAGCTCTGGTAGACAAACAGCAACTGCTGTGGGGGAGGTCTAGCTAGGTGTTGAAGTAGTAGCGGGGTTCACAATAGCATTTTTTGCTTCTCGAACCCTTTATTTTAAAGTTCCGCGCTAATTTTTAAGCCTGCAGCAGTGCTGCGGTTTCTCACGCAAGAAGAAATCACTTCTTGCAAGAAGCTATCATGAACCCCCCTAGTGGATCAAGAATTGTGGTGGGTGGGTGTTGGAGAAAAACACAGAGTACACTATGGGGGCACTTTTAAGGTTTGGCTTTGCAAAAGTTGCAAAATATAAGAACTTCTTCACAAGCTTGCAGAAGTGTTTGCAGAAACTTTTGCAGCTTTTGCAAAAGTTTTGTAAAAAAAAGGCAAAACAAGTTGCAAAAGCAGCTTGTTAAGGTTTTGATCTGGAACCACACCACTTTTAATGCGGATTTTGCCAGATCAAAACCTTGAGGGTTGCTTTCACAATTGTCTTCAAAATAGATTGCACAAGTATAGTATCACTGCGCAAACCTTTTGCCAAATTTTGCAAAGATTCTCAAGTCAAAGCTTCCTTGCCCCCCAAAGCCAATCAGACTCTGAGAGGTTTTGCTTTTTCATCTTTGCCACCATCCTGCCCCATTCCTCCTCCCAAGTCTTTTCTCATCATCAGCCTCTCTGACCGTCTCATCTCATAGAAATTCCTCTTCCCTTTCCTTCTCTCAACTAATTTTTGTTGGAATTTTGTCTCTTTCTCTCCTCATCCCTAAAAATCCTTTTTGTTTAGTCTTTTAATTAATAATGATTAAATAATAGAATTCAAATTATTATACAATTTTTTTTGGTTTCTGCGTGGTATCTTGTCCTGTTGTCTAGTGCTGCAATCCTTGTAGTCTTCAAACCCTGGTCTAGTCTTTATCAATAGTCATTTGCTCCAGTCGTCTATTCAAGAATTTGATGATTTTGTTATTCATTATGATATTCATTTTTTCTCTCAACCACATGTTTGACCTCTTGTATGTAGACTATTGAACGTGTAGTCTCCTCTAAGTAAAAAAACATATTGGCTCTCTCTCTCTTTTTCCGACCCTCGAGCCTCTCCAACAAAAACTTGTTTTTGTTGCCCAAAAATTCTCTTTGTCTCCGGTTAAAATTTCATCACCATTAACAGTCAAAAGACTTGCAACAACAAACTCTCTCTTGCTTCAAACTTCATCCTCAACAACAACACAACAACATGTCCACCAAAGTGATTCGCGAAACCAAGGTCCTCTTGACTCCTAACAACTATGCCCTTTGGCTATTACTGATGGAGGCGAAACTCTTTAGATCAAAACTTCTCAACATCCTTGAATGTCAAGTAGAACCGGAAGAAAAAGAAAAAGTAAATTGGACAAAACTGAAAAACAACACCTATGCTGAAATCATAGCTTACATTGGTGAAGAAGTACTTGGGTTTGTCAGTTCCACTTTGCCTGCAACCCCTCGTTTCAACAGTCTGGGTCTCTGGAAGCTCTTGAAGTCACAATACGCTAGCAACAAACTCACCTCTCAAACGACCGCTCTTGATCAATTCCTACATCTCAGCTTTTCCTCTATTGCCACGTTCATCCCCACTTGATTCGCAAATCAAAAGATATCGATGTCGGGTCTTATCCTGGACAATCACGTCCAAACAATCCTCATGCTCAAGAAACTGCCTTTGGATTATTGCTCCTTTCGCAATATCGTATCAATGAATTATGGATCAGAATCTTTTGAATCGGTTATTAAGAAACTTGAGAGCTATGTAGCTCAAAATGATCTAGATAAAAAACCTTCAGTATCAGCAACTCTGCTACAATTGCTCCTCACGTGATTGAACAATCAAGCTTCACCAAGTTCAACTCTCTGTGATTACTGCAAGAAACCCAGTCATTGGATCAACAATTGCTGGGTTAAGCATCCTCAAAAAGCCCCAAAATTGCACTCAGCTCACATGACCGTTAAAGATAATTACAACCAACCCAACAATCCAACAGACTTCTCTCTCTTCAGAAAAGCTGATGGTGTCCTTCATCACATTGATGAAGTGAAGTATGAAGGTGTCTGATACTTCTGATTTCAAACAATCTCATTTTTTCTTCTCTCATCACCAAACTATTTCTTTTTCATGCTAAGGTTTTTTAGGTCTGAGTAGTGGAGGGTGTTGAAATTTCTTCTCTTTCTCTCCTCATCCCTAAGAATCCTTTTTGTTTAGTCTTGTAATTAATAACAATTAAATAATAGAATTCAAATTATTATACAATTTTTGTTAGTTTCTGCGTGGTATCTTGTCCTGTTGTCTAGTGCTGCAATCCTTGTAGTCTTTGAACCCTGATCTAGTCTTTATCAATAGTCATTTGCTCCAGTCATGTATTCAAGAATTTGTTGATTTTGTTATTCATTTTTTCTCTCAACCACATGTTTGACCTCTTGTATGTAGACTATTTAACGTGTAGTCTCCTCTAAGTAAAAGACATACTGGCTCTCTCTCTCTCTCTTTTTCCGACCCTCGAGCCTCTCCAACAAAAACTTGTTTTTGTTGCCCAAAAATTCTCTTTGTCTCCGGTTAAAATTTCATCAATTGTGGATTCCCTTGTAAATTCTTTCCACAGCTCTCTTGACCATTTCCTTTCTTCTCTTTCCTTACTCACTTAATCAATCTTCTGCCCAAAGCATCCAAACTTATCCAATCATGCACGGAAAGCCAACCTTGGTTGATGAGATCAAAGGCAAAATTGGTGTATTCCCTTCTGGGCCCACTTCTCCATCTCAGCTTGAATTATTGACCCTGACTCTACCATCATTCTCTCTATTCTTCCTACTACTGGCAACCACGGTCACACTTAACCCCCGCTTATTTTCCACCTCATATGAGAATTTGTAGTCCCGCCCCAGTACCCACACCCACTTTGTCAGTCTCATCTTCATCTCATCCTCCAAATTAGTGATTGATACCATTATTCGAACCTTGTTCTTCTTGTACAGTCCCTCGGGTGCTTGGATCACCCCCTCCATCCATTTCCCCAATTTGAATGCAAAAATCACCCGGAACAAAGCCCCAAGCTATGCTTTGTCTTGTAATGATGGCTACATACCAAGACCCCAAGCTACACTTGGTTTTCCTCAACAAATATTTTGTTGATCTGATTGCATATGTATCTTATTTCTGTTCATATATTTTTCCTCTTGAACATTTGAACCAATCTAAATGTTTAGAGGGTCGGAAAAACGACTCCCAAAAATTGTCCAACGACTCCCATTTTGGTCGAGGGGTCGTCGGGCAGGAGTCGTTCCTCCAAATCGATGGCCGACTTTGGGAGTCGGCCATCCAATTAGTTTTTAATTTTTTTAATTTTTTAATTTTTAAATTTAGGGAGTCGGCACCCCAAACCACCCCTCATGCTTGAGGGGGTTTGGGAGTCGTTTGATCCCATGACCGGAAGGATTTCCTTCCGGTCCCTTCCAGTCTACAAGAAAGAAAAACCTCATCGACTGGAAGGTCATACCTCATTGACCGGAAGGCATTCCTTCCAATCAATGAGGTTCATAACAACCTCATTGATTGGAATGAATGCCTTCCAAGTGATGAGGATGTTACCCTCATTGACTTCCAATAAATGAGGTTTATAACAACCTCATTGATTGGAAGGAATTACTTCCCATCGATGAGGTTTTTACCCTCATCGACAGAAGGAATCCCTTCCAGCTGATGAGGATGGTATAAGAACCTCATTGACCGGAAGAAATCCCTTTCGTCGATGAGGATGTTATACCTCATTGACCGGAAGGATCCCTTCCGGCCAATGAGATTGTTATACCTCATTGACCGGAAGGATCCCTTCCGGCCAATGAGATTGTTATACCTCATTGACCGGAAGGAATCCCTTCCGGTCGATGAGGTTTTTCTTTCTCGTAGACCGGAAGGAAATCCTTCCGGCCAATGAGATTGTTATACCTCATCGACCGGAAGGAATCCCTTCCGGTTGATGAGGTTTTTCTTTCTCGTAGACCGGAAGGAAATCCTTCCGGTCATGGGATCAAACGACTCCCAAACCACCTGAAGCATGAGGGGTGGTTTGGGGCGCCGACTCCCTAAATTAAAAAATTAAAAACTAATTGGATGGCCAACTCCCAAAGTCGGCCATCAATTTGGAGGAACGACTCCCACCCGACGACCCCTTGGCCAAAATGGGAGTTGTCGGACAATTTTTGGGAGTCATTTTTCCAACCCCCTTTTTTTTATATTAAATTCTTAGGGAGTCGACTCCCAAACCGGTTGACGGTTTTGGGGGATCGACTCCCTAATTTCGGGGGTTTCGGGGTTTGGGAGTCGACTCTCCAATTTTGGGGAGTCGATTAACCAAGCCCCAATGTTTATTACTGTCATACATCTTCCTGATTGAAGCAATCCAATGTTTTTCTTATTTTTGTTCTCTATAAGAAGTATCAGCATTATGAACAAGCCTGGCAAGTGAGTGAGAAGGCCAAGAGGCCAGGTGTAAAATTTGCAAAAAATTGCAGTGGCTTACGCAACTAATGCAAAATCACTGCAAAACACTTTTGCAATCATAGATTCACAAAAAATGTGAAAGTGCAGGATTGCATAATTTTTTGTGCAACCCTTTCAAAAGTCATTTGCAAGCCTTGCACAAAGACTTCAGAATCCCTTTTGCATGGGATTGTGTAACTCACCAGGACCAAGGTTGGCAACGTCCTCCCCTGTGCGCAACTATTTTGAAACAATTGCGCAATACTTTTGAAATCCAGAGCCCGTAGTGTATAGCCGGTCTCTGCCACGGTGGCTATTTCCTTGAGTTTATAGGGCAATCAGTTGCGGCTCTGCTGGACCCCAAAATTCTCCTGAGAGCCACTGATTTGGGCTGAAAATCACCCAGCCGTGGCTCTAAGAGCAACTCCAATGGAGCCGCAATCGGGCATCTGGGGGCAAACTTTGACTGCCCAAAACGCAATTTTGTGCTCCAACATCCAGGAAAACTTTTCTTCAAAAAGGAAATGGGAGATTTAGAAGAGTAAACATGATGGTACACTGGTTTATCTTCTTTGGACAAATGATGAATCAATTCAAAAAAAGGAAAACTGGTTTCCACTGGCTAGTCTTATAATTTTAAGTCTTGCTTTCAGCATTTCAGTTTCCCGGTTTTCTTGGTTCAAACATGACTGTTTCCGGTGGGCTATTTGCTACCATTTCCGTTTTTTGGTGGGTACAGTAATGGATCATAAGAGCATACCATGAGGTCCTTTGGATCCATTGGAAGCATTGTGTGTAGCCTAGGTGCATCCACGACAAACTGACAGTTTCAAAAAAAAAAAAAATGAAAATGAAAATGAAAAAAAAAACATCAATAAAGCGTGAAGATTATGCCATGTTTTGAAGTAAGAAGAGGAAGCTTACCAGGTCTGGCTCTGTTGTGATGAGTTGGCTCGTCATAACATTTGTAAGCGTGTGTGGTCTTGATAGTTCTGTGATGAATCCTCTCGATTTCAAAACCCCAAACCGCTAGGAATTGAATGTCAAATTCATTGTGTGGATCAGTATAAATTTCACGGAATATTTCTAGGGATATTCATGTTCATGTCGATTATAATAGGCTCATACCTATATATGACACCCCCTGCAGAACCGTAAACATTGTCGGAATAACCGTCAGGCCCTCGGCAGGTTTCATATCCTCGTAGTATGTTTCCCGTTTGCAGTTTATAAACTTGAACTGCGACACTGATTGAGTGTAGTATAAACGAACGTATTATCGGATCCGAAAAAAGAATCATCAATCAATCAGATTCTGTAAACGTTTTTGATCGATCTCATTTCATCTCCGATCCTGAAACTCACTCGGT